CCCCAAAACCCCAAAACCCCAAAACCCCAAAACCCCAAAACCCCAAAACCCCTTTTTTAACTGCAAATATTGATTATTAATAGCTGTCTTCGCTGAGATAATTTATGTCATTAATCATGTTGTCTCCTATCACAGCATCAAAGATTTCATCCCTCTCCTCACGGAATCTACTAGGGCTATTAAGTCCACCAGGAGGCTTCAAATGGAACAAACTCTTGCTTGGATTTCTATAAATTAAGAAGTAAAGAATACTTAGAACTCCTAAAGTTCGGCGTATCACATGAAGGTTTGATTTTAGATTTTCCTTTAGGTTTCGTAACTTTCAGTGTATTCATCTTCTGAATAGGCAAGTTTTTGGCTCGTACAACAGCTACTTTTTGATGCAACTTCCCATTTGATTTTACACTGCGATGACCTATGTATCAGTTAGAGATGGCTTATTAAAATTATCGAAATTTTAATGAAATTTACCCATATTACTTCCGTTACTGGGTGAAAATATAAAATTTTGTTCCTTCCAAAAGCCCTCAGTAAGAGTATTTGCCAACTGTAATTTCGCTTGACTCGGAGCTGCTAAGAATTGTGGAGCCCTGCATGAAAGAGTGCCTTCTCTCATACTGCCAAAAGCTTGTGAGGAGTTGATATCAGATTGATTTCTCTTCTTGGAACTGCCTAAATTATTTGAACTGTTGCTTCTATTAGACCCATAAAACATCTTGCCGACCAATTTAATGTAGCCGACATCATCTTTAATAATATCGTACTCTGGATCTTGATTAGAGGAATTCTGACTGACCGGGCTAACAGAGTTAAACTTCAGCCTTCTTTGAGAGAAACTCTTAGTCTTAGAATTATTCTTATCTCTCGTAATATACAAATGAGGGAAGTAATCATTCGCATCTGAGTTCAGTGTAATGTCATGTATTACACGAGAACCTTGTTGGCCGGATTGCTGACAGATGTCATCGTTAGTTACATCAGGAAGGACATGGTCTATTGATGCCTCAAATGCCCTCTGCCCATTACTATGCATTGATAGAATTGATTTGCTCCCAGTGATCTCGAAGAACATCCTTCAGACACCGCTGAGATGGGTGAGTTCAGAGAAAGTGAAGAATGAAAATATAGTTTTTGTTATAGTGCCATTCCATTCGTCTCGGAATCGCAGCATCGGTCTTTTAGAGTTCGGATATTTTCTATGTAATTTAGTTAGAACTAAAAGTTTCAGGAAATTATTATTTTTATGAGAAATTCAGTTGTATGAAATTAAAAATCAAATTATTTAGATAAGTTTTTACAAGTTTATTTATAACCAGATGGCCTAAAGTTATAATATTTATATTATTGATTTTAATTAGCAAACAATAAAACATTATAAGCAATCCATTTCTTTTTAATTTCACTTCTAACAAATCATCAAAATTAACTTCAAACAACTCAAAATCTCAAAATTCAAAAACCTCATCGATCCATATATAAATCTCTTCTTATTCCATCCATCTCTTACCTTTTAGCTTGAGCCATATAAACCCTATTCAGCCTCTTCCTCTGTGGCGTATTCTCTCTAAACTGAACACTCACCGCCTGATGGTCATCACACTCATACAGCATCAACAACAGCAAGGACTTATTTATACGCCGATACTATATAACTGACCGCATCCTCCTGACTCTTAAAGGAAGCCCACCTATTAAGCATCGTTTTTTTTGCTTTCTTCCCGGTATTTGCAGAAATACAGCATCCCATTTTTAGTAAGAAATTTGTTATATAGTTCAAAAATATATGTTGAAGAGGGGTTTTGGGGTTTTGGGGTTTTGGGG